TAATGTATATGTGACGGAGGATTTGGGAGACACAGGAAACACATTGAGGTCAAGAGTGGTTTTTAGGGGTTCTTTATTAGCGGTTCTCAACATTAGGACACAGCAAATGTAGTATTAATCCGGGCAAAACAAAGGCCTAAAACAGAAAGGGGCAGCATGGGCAGACTCCATGGACACAGAGCAGTAATCCAGGCACAGGAAAGGGGTAACAGAAGCAGGGCACAGCAAAGGTAGAGTCCGAGAGCACAGGGCCGCAATCCAGGCACAGCAAAGGGGTAAGAGCAGCAGGGCACAGTACAGTTGGAGCCCAGGACACAGGGCAGCAATTCAGGCAGAGTCCAGAGACATGCACAAGGCGGTAATCCAGGCACAGCAAAGGTTAACGGCAACAAGACACAGCAAAGGGGTATCAGCAACCAGATACAACAAAAGAGGGTCACGACTCACACTTAAGGCATCAGGTCACTCTGCAGAAGAATAGGGATCCACATGGAATGGTAAGGCAGGAGGAGGTCTGTAGAGCTGGTCTGTGGAGCCTCTTCAGTGCTCGAGCAGGACAACAGTTCACAGCTAGTAAGGCACTACAAGTCCCAGTAGTCCCCAATCACTGAACACACATCCAGAGCTAGATGTCCCACCAGTCCTCATCTTCTTCTAGTCTCTTTCCAATGAGACCCTTCAGCTATAAGTCTCATGTCAATCACTGAAGTAAAAAGAACCTCATTTCCTAATCCCCCTGCGTGAAGGACTTCATGGATCAATTATGCTGATCAGCTGACTGATTAACATGAGGCCTTTTGAACAAATGTTATTAGAGATTGTTCATTTCCAGACACATCTAATATTTCAAAGTTAATATTTCTGATCTATGTTACAGTATAATTTTAAATCGTGTGTGGCTGTGGGGAGACATTAGAGCGTAAGCTCCTCTGGTGCTGAGACTGATGTATATGGCTCAGTGTTCTCTGTACAGCATCATATAGATGAACAATATATATAGAGATCCAGTTTTTGCTGGTCATGGGATCTTGTTCAAAGAGCTGTCTGGTGATCATACACCTGTAGCACTATTTAATTGACTTGGTCCCCTGTTTGAAGAAATGTATATAAATATAAAAGAAAACAGATATATTTATAAACATTGGACATGTTACAATGTGTCACACAACAAACACGGACAGAATGAAGAAAGGGAGTTTTTTTGAAGTATGGACCCACACTAATGAAAAAGTAAATATTTAATTACAGCTTGAACCACAGAAATATTGTGTATGAATCTCTCAAAGTGTGTATTTTAGCCAAAGCACATCTAAAAATTCATACTGACCCCAAGTGGACTTGTTTACACCATTAGGAGCACCATTAGTGCAGAATACAGGACTACTCCCAATGTGCCACGATTCATCTCCATGATTGGAACGATTTCTGTATATCAAAATGTTGATAAATGGCTGGAAATACCCATTTTGAGCTCTGAGATTGTGATATCAGCTTAGCCAGTGATGTCGGAATCTGGGTTCAGCACCTGTGTCAGCCAAGCAACTCGCATTTTGAGCAATGGCTGGCTCCCTTGTTTTGCTCATGACAGCTGCTTTTAAATACTCACCTGCTGGGCTATTCCTGTTGATGGGGCAGAATCTGTGTGATGTTTTGCCAAGATTAGCTGCTTCTTCAGTTGGTGGAGGAGACTAAGCTCATCTGACACAAGACTCACAGCAATGTCATTATTCATGTATTCGTTTTTATATTTCTAATTTATTAGTAAAAAAACGAATACATGAAACATCTAGGCGCAACATCATCACGACTTACATAAAAAATTAAAGAAGAATTATAAGAGAGTGAAATACACTCTTCCCCATAATTAGAGCCAAGGTGTGACACTGAAGCTGTCATGTGTCGGCTCTATTGATTGGGAACTGAGCGATCACATGCCGCCGATCGGGAACTGACCGATCGCTCATTTTCCAATCCTTTCCTTGTAGAGAGAGGTGACTGTCAGTCAGGGAAAGGATGGGGAAATGAGCGATCAGCGGTAGGTCATCGCTCAGTTCCAGATCAATAGAGTCAGTGTGTGACTGCCAGTCACCGCTCCCCACAGGGATTCTCCACTCCCTTCTCCATTTCTCCAGCACTGACTGGAGGGACGGACAGGGGAGAGGGCAGCACATCTGGCTCTGGCTTCAGAGAGTCAGAGCACGCTGTCAATCAGGTGGCGGGGAGGATCCCAACAATATTGTCAGGATCTTTCCTGGCATTGCCTGCTATATGCTGAATTTGTGTTCACAGGAGCACATAGTATATGTCCTCCTGTGATCCTAAAGAGGACATGTAAAAAAAGGTTGGCCCTTAGTTCTCTTTTAAGGTGTTCATGAAAAAAGTTGGTTGTAATCGTCTTTTTGCCATAAGAAATGACAAATTACCCACAGCTGAGTTTGTTGAATGTCTGCTAATAGCAAGCCAGCTCTCTGCGTTCTGTACAGGGAACATTCACAGGAGATGAAGGGTTCTTTAAGGGCTTCTAGAAAGCTTTTGGATGCTTTTTGAATTCTGACTATGATGCAGTTTAGACTACATCTACAAGACCAGGGATGGGAAACTCCGGGCCTCCAGCTGTTGTGGAACTGCAAATCCCATGAGGCATTGCAAGAGTCTCGCAGCCAAAGGCATGACTCCCAGAGACAGATGCATGGTAAGATTTGTAGTTTCACCACAGCTGGAGGGCCGGATTTTTGCCTCATGCCACAGTAATATCACCGATTTTTTCTGGAGGCCTAGAATCGGTTCATGTTGCAGAACGTATCCCTGCATACCAGGTCATCTTTGTGCTCTCTCTCTAGCTGCCTCTCTGACTCCTCCTGAAGACTTTAGGAATCCTCATGTCCCAAGATTATATCATATTTCATCCCTCCTTCCTAGCAAGCCCCTGTTCTCCTCCTGCCGGAATTCTATCACATTGCCACGTGGAACTGCCATAGGATTTGGTGGGTGTCTCACACAGCTACCCTGACAGTTAAATCCTCATTTGAGAGATGTAAAGATTAAAGTGACACTAAACTCAGGAGTTAAATCTCAAAAATACATTCAAGTATCTTAACTATTAACAAAAATGTATCTTATTTGTGTATCACTCGGCTGTAGATCCTCAAATCGTCTCTGAATTGGTGCTGACACTGTCATTCCATC